CAGGCTTAGTTTTGTTTCCAGCATGCTTCTCCCTGTGCATATTAACAGTATAGCAATGGTCCTGTCTTCTGAACAGCTCAGTTCTCTGCCAACACAGCTGTACATTCTTATTCCCTTTGGCCACAATTGGTTTAACTACCTTTTCTGATTTAACTCACTCAAGTTTGTTGGACACAGCAATGGCAAGACTAGAAATACTTTTTTTTTTTTAAGGTTTCCTCTGACTAGATGTAGTCAACCACTAGCTCGTCACAACCGAAGTACTCGGATGAGACAAATACCAATCAAACTATGTGCAGCTAACTGACTAGCCTTCAAAGGTTAGTTATTAATTTCCAATAGTTTCGCAGCTGGGATGGCCTATGCAACTGCTACCTCCATTGCTTGCAACATTAGAGCTATGTAGGATAACAATCCTTGGTTTCTATACAGTGCTCAAGACAGCACTCAAAATTTAAGTGCCACCTTGGGTAAAGTCTATCCACAACTTATTCTATATATGCTACATATGCTGCTGTGATTGGGTGTGGGATATTTGCCTCCTGAAACTGAGATGGAAGACAGTAAACTTGTTATAAACGTCAACATGTATAATTACTATTACTGAGTTAATGTCCATGGAAGGAAGTAGATCGCCTCTTTTACAAGCTATTAACATCACCAGCTTTAGTTCAAATTAAAAGACTCCCAGATTTAAGGCTCACCTTCAGTTTTTAATGCACAGGAGACCAAACTAAGTTTCATCTCTGAATCAGGTTAACAGTTCCTAAACTGGTTTCACCTTGCATGTTTTGATTTGCCCACATCTCAGTCGGGTTACTTTATGATTTTCTTCCACTTGCCCCCAGCAATGTTATCAGGGAAACAAACAGGCTGGGTCCTGAACACCAACAGTGCTAACTGAACTCCAGTTACACAGGATATATCATGGGCTCTTATGTAAATGGCAGAAAGGAGCTGACTGGATTCCCAGTCCTAGTGAAGTTGTAATGGTGAAAAATCCAGCTTTCAACTCAAATCGAATGAAATGCTGAAAAACTCTATGAGACAGGTTAAGTACTTAATATCATAAATCCCAACAATGTCTCATTTGCCAGGGCAAGCACCAAGCTGTCTCATTTTCCCTACAGTCAATTTAAATAACCCAAACACCACATGAACAGCAAGAACAAAGTGGCTCTACACTACAGGTTTCCAGGACTCCATTCCAAGAATCAATTCGTCATCTTTGTGTATACTATGATCCCAAAAAGTGTGCTTATTGTGTCTTTTTATTATTTAAAAAAGCCCCTTTATCTACAAAACTATCTGAAGTTCATTCATCTTTGTGGTTGAACAGAGAAAGAGCAGCATCCATTGAACTGCTGACAAGCATCTGCAACACTTGCTTGTTAACAATTTCAACCACAGTGACTTTGAATAGGAAAACCAGCTCCAAAAATTTGCTTTTGCAAAAAGAAGCCTTCTCCATCTCTCCTACTCACCTTGCTCTACTAGATATCAAAGCCAAATGTGATATGCGAGATACCCGTGTACATTGTCACTGGAGTTCTGTGAAGACATTCCATGTGCTCAAAATGTTCACCACTCTTGAGGACTGTTCCTTTGAAGAAATTCTCACAGTGATCACAAATCAAGTATGTTTTGTTTAAGTCCACATGATGGTCTTCTAGACAATTACGTGCAAGACAAGTAATGTAAAGTAAAAGAAGACAGACATACAGCACTGAGCTAATAACGTAGAGGAGTTTCAGAAGCAGTACTGGAAGCACCATTACAAAGAACCCCTAACATGGCTCTGCCATCACGCTGGCTGTTGGAGTGTTTTTTTTTCAGCCTGGAAGAAGGAGCAAGTAATATACTTTATTCATATATAATTATATTCCCATAACTGTCTTCAGAGAGATTGAGGCTTGATAGTCACATGCATAAACATTACAGAGAATTAACAGATTAGTTTGTACAGAATTGTCTCAATTCAGGCCACAGATTTGCATGCCATCCATCTTATGTTCTCAATAAGCAGCCATTCAGCTTTTCATAGCATCTATATTTTATCTGTGCTGCCTCCTACTAATATTCTATTTAGTCACTGGCAGCTTGCTTGAAAGATCTGAAAGGAGATATTTACTTTTTTTAGTTATGTAAATTTTTAGTAACTACAACACCTTATAGTGTAAGTTTAGAGCCTCCAGATGTTTAATTAGATTTAGAAATAACCTGAAGTATAAGAGCAGAGAATTAACTTATTCTTGCAAAATAATACACAAAAAAACCTTTTTGTGCTCAAAAACTAATTGCTTCCTACTACTTATTCCTCAGCTACAGAACGTCTCAGTCTGACACCACAATTTCCACAAAGGTTTGATGCCATGGAGAACAGCAGCTTTTATAAATAGTGTGTGGTGAACAGAAGCAGGCAGACAAAGAAGCCGCAAAGGCTCTTTTCAAGAAAGCATTCTTGAAGCCATTAAAAGATTTAGCTGTGGCCCAAAAAACAGGGTTGGGAGCTAGCAGTCTACTGTTCTGACTCCAGCTCCAACTCCTGTGCCCTTGTAAAATCATTGCCCTATCTCAGTTTTCCTTCATCCATTAATTCAGCTTGACTAATTTAAAAGCAGTGAAATTTGTAACACACAGTAGATTCAGAAGTGCTTACCAGTGACCCAGTTTAACACTATTTCTCTACTTGTCTTCCACAGTTAACTCTTACCAGCACCACTCTACTCCACATTTACTTGTAGTCAAACTAACTGCAGGCAGTGGTCCTCCAGAGCCCCACCCGTAATTCCACAGAATCCAAACAGAGATTTTTCAGCCAAAGCCCTTAAACAAGGAAAAAACTTTGTCATGCTATCACTAAGCAGCTGCTCAATTCACCCAACTGAACTTTTGCCAGCTTCGTCCACAGAAAATGCCTACAAAGTAATATTATCTCTAAAGCCTTAAGGCAATTAAAAAAATGCATGACTGGAAAACAGCACTGTGGAGAAAATTAACAGAGAAGCACTCTCATGCAGGGATCATCCTATGAGGTGCTTATCCTAGCTGAAGGCTGAGTTAGATACTTAGAAAGCCAGTAACACTTTCATGAGACCTGTAGTTGAGAAATCCTTTCTGTGTATGAGCAGACAGGACTTTGGCTATCCAGCTGTTATATCCAGCACTTCCAAAAACTGCTACAGTTCATATAGAAATCGGACATACAGAGGCTTCTTTGAAATGACACAGCTTTCAAACGCCAAAACCACTTTTCTCAATAGAAAGAGTGACTAGGAATTCTGGTACTCCTCAGCACCAAATTAGCAGGATGTAGCCTGACACGCATTTTAAGCAACATGACAAAAAAAGGCCTTTGGAATTTATTTTTTTGCCAAACTAGTTCCTGATCTGGTTCACCTTTCAGCTCTGATGGATCTTGCTGGCATAATGGCAACAGAACAGTCTGGGGTGGAAGTTGCTTCCATTCTCCTGGCTTGAATGAGTATCACACTGTAGCCTCACAAAGGGGCAAAAATGCCTTAGTTTGAATACTGCAAACAGAAATCAGTTACACATTCCTTGCTTCCCACTTCATTAAGCAAAACAGATACTGGAAGAAACCCAAAACAAGCAACGCTTGAGCAGACCACGGACTATTGGCAAATCATCAGCTAGAAAGAGCTCAAACAGTCACTTTCAAGATGATGGCAAGACCCAGCCCTGTTGCACAACTTCTCATGTAGTTTGGAGCTTGGTTAACATCTGTTCTTGAGAGCAGCACTGGGGACAACTCTTGGCTGGTACAGGTCTCTTACATGGACCACTCGGAAGCAGTGCTAGCACAGGTACAAGTGCTGCCTGGCTATACTCGCCTCAGTGATGACTTCTCTATTTAGCAACCACCAACACTAATTGCTGGCACTTAACTCTGTTCTCAGATAATGTAAGCAAACCAAATGAAACCTGTTATAACAGAAAAATTCTTAAGTCATTTCTCCAGCAAGCTTTCTCACTGTAGGACTTACCTGTCAGGTTAGTGGGTCAGATGACCCATATTCAAAAGCAAATACAGTTCTTCAGTATACACTACCACCTTGTGGCCAGATGCCTGAAACTCCCATAACTGACTATTTTCTGCAGTTTGAGTTCTAAGAGCCTCAGAACCGAACACAGTTGACAGATCCTCAGCAAACTATACTGTCATCCTGTGTGAGCTGCTCACAACTTTTTAATTACCTGTGAAGACGGAAAAGTACCGTACATGCAAAATGCTGTACCATTTCAATTTCAAGGCAGCTTACACATCACAAGAGCAAGCTATTTACTTCATGCTGTAACCGAAAGAAGCTGCTACCTACTAGGCAAATGAGACATGAGAATTTGGTTTTGACTTTGAATGCATCGAGACTAGTACAGACTTCCCCTTTCTTACTTTCATAATGAAAAAGGAAAACCAAGACAATAAAGACAAATATGCTGAATTTCTTCTCCTGGTGCATTAAGTCTACTGATCTTGAAAACTGCCTCTAGCTCCCCAAGTAAAAAGGGATTTCAGAAGAATTCCCATATCTAATTTAGCTGAGGTGCAAACATCAAATTATACTAGAGATGAAAATCAAAAGCATTGCCTCTGCAGTAACCAGCACACAAGACTGTAAAAGGTACACAGCAAAATACTCTGAAAGCAATCTAAAAAGTGGGGCAGATAACAAAGGACAGACAGTGGGAAGAGAAAGAAGGAGGCTAGAAAAGCTAGACACAGAACAAAAATCAATACAACCAATACTGTGTCTTAGATAAGACTAAGATGACTTAGCTCTAGCTGGAAAATCCTTATGCTGTTATTAGGCTGATCTGCCAAGCAGGACAATAAATTGGTTTATTGCTCCAGAAATTCCAAGTCTACATGTACTAACAGATAGATACAAATGTGTCCACTGAATGAGTTATGTGTCAAGGCAATAAAAAGGCTCTGTTTGGCTTCCCCCTTCCACATGCTTACTGTTAGAAAGACTCACCAACAGTTGTACCATCTTCACCCATGATACACTTCATAGAGGTGATGACTTGCTCCACAACAGGAGGTGACAATGATGTTGCATACACAGCACTGTGAGAGTATGTCCTGAGGTAATCAATCAGTTCCTAGCAAAACACAAGAGGCATCAGACATTGCCTTCCCAAACTCAGAAAAATGCATTACTGTCGTGTCTTAGTCACAAAATAGAATGAGCCACCACAAGAAACCTCATTCAGAATGTGCTGGAAGAGAACAGGTATCTCAAGGATTGATTTTACAGTACAAGAAATAAAGAGTTGAAAAGTGAGCAGCAGGGACATGACAACCTGTAATTATGTCACAGGGCAAGAATGTGTATTGATCAAAGTCAAATGCCTATGACAGACTTGTTTAGCTAACACCACCAGCAGTGGATTGCAACAAGGTGTTTGCATTACTCAAGCTGTGTGCAGGCTGTTTTTCAAAAGTGTTTATTATAACAGTGGGAGTATAAAACAAATGAAATAGCGGGGAGCAAGACCCATAGGTGCTTATGTATCATGCTCAATTTAATTCTTTCTCCATAAAAGTCACCAAATGGGAATAGGTCACAAAATATTTTCTCCCATTTATCAGCACAATATAAATAAAGCAGCAGGTGTAATTTAAGAGTGCAAGAACCTCAGCCTACCCCTCCTTCATTTCCCAGTTAAACATACCTGCTACATTTGTTAGAGGGCAGAAGCAGGTCATATAGGAACAAAGGACCAACACACAGTAGATCTAGGCTGCTTGTTGTTGACTGTAACAAAACCACTCTAAAATGCCCAGACCACTCCAGCAAAATATTAAAGACCAGTATGAACGCTAGGACAGATCCTGTCTTCTGCTACCACAAAATTAGTCATGACGGCCCTGTAGCTAGCACAAGCTGGGAACATGTTATAGAAATACGTGGAAGTGTTCAATTTTATGTCGCTGTCTGCATGGAGTCAGAGTTAAAGGAAAGGAAGTTGTAAAGGGACTTTGACATAAACTAGGTAAGAAGATTTAAGGCCTCCCACCTCTGAAGCAATCCCTCAAACAGTAGCTAAACCACAGCTGCGAGGGACTCTTAGCTGCTTCACTTTATGCCAAGGGAGTTAATCCCACTAGCTCGCTACCTTTGGAAAAATATTAATACAGTGCTTTCTTTTGGGGAAGATGTCAGAGTAATTTTAATCCAACTGTAGTAAACTCCCAAAGAGGAACATCTGCAAGTCCCATCTCCACTTGGATGGGCTGAAATAATTGTTGCTATTAGTATCTAAAAAATCATTGTCCTGGTAGGAAAATGGTAGAATTTTACTCTCAAATAAAGCTTAGATGCCTGATCTGTGAGACACATTTGAGGATATGAGAAAGGGGACACACACAATTGCCTAAACCATCCCTCCCAAAAGGAGGTGTTTGGCAAGGGCAACATTTTCTCACAGTACTTTGCAGTAGAAGAGAGTCAGTAGCCGAAAAACCCAACCCAAAACAAAACAAACAAAAAAAAGGGGGAGGGGGGGTAAGTGTCTTTTTAGAAACCAAACTGTTCCGAGTCCAGAGGGAATCAATTCTACCAGACTAACCTAAGAAGAGGATTTTCCTCCAAACAAGCTGAAAACTTCAACTTTTGGCATTTTTCCAGCAAGTCTCATTAGAAGTAACATTAAGAAATCCCTGCTTCCTGGCTCACAGTAGTTTCTAAAAAGATATTATAACCACTACCGTACATTCTGCAAACTGAGATTATTGCTGACCATGTGAGAACTATGCAATTATGAGATATTTTACTAGACTAGACTCTCTGCATTGCACAGACTTTCACTGTACTAGACAGTATGTAAAATTAGGAAACAAATTACAATCAGGGTACTTGAGAAATAGATCAACTTTGGAATGCTTAGTGAAGGATGCCACCACCAGCCTGAAACAGCCATCAGATTCCCAGCTTTTTACCTTCTTGCCCCCAATGTATCCTCCAGCAGCTCCAAAGCTTTTGGTGAATGTTCCCATCATAACATCCACATCTTCAGGACTGAGTCCAAAATACTCCACTACACCCCGGCCACTGGGACCCAGGGCACCTATACTATGAGCCTCATCGAGGTACAGATAGGATTTGTACTTCTTCTTAAGGGCAATCACTTCAGGCAAACGGACTATGGATCCCTCCATGCTGTTGAGAAACAGAAATTCAGTGTAAGTTGATTTAATGGTTTGGGCCTCCTTACAAAGCCTAAAGTCACTAAGCCTTCTTCACTCTTTCAGTAATTATGAACCCATAAAATCTGCTAGACACATTGTGTTGTGCAGAGAGATGAAAGGTAAATCCTTGCACCTGGAGCCCAGATCTCTACTTTCTACCTGTTTAACTTCTCTGGGATGCTGACATATGGACTAAACAGTAGCAGCAACCGTAAGTTAAGGCAAAGGAATGTGTTCAGTGACAATTTTATAAATTATCTCATTTTTACTTCCACCCTAATGTCAGTATTCTGATCTGACATATACTTACCTGTTGTTTTTAAGTTTAAGAACTAACTAGGCTCTCATTAGTAGCACTCCAAAACATCCCATTTTGTGCTGAAAGTCACTACGATTCAAATGCCTAACACAGCTAAGCCTACTACATGCTCCTGCTCACTCTCCGCAAAAACATTCAATTTGCACAATTCCATTCACACTAGCATCATCTAGTGAGCACAGAAAGAACAGAAGGGACAAGCAATTTAAGACCTCAGCTCTGATGTAAATAATCAGTTGAGATTAATTAATTTCTACAATCTAATCAGGATGTGGGAAGCATTGGGATAACACCAGGTGCAGCTACAGTACTAGCAACAGAAAGTCCAGGATGAGACATACATAGTCAATTTAATTCGCAGATGAGATAAAAGAAATAACTATGAAGTGACAATATTCATAGTTTGATTTGGCAAAGGAACCCAAATACTAAGCAGCTAGATCTCATGTGGAGGGTCTTAGGAATATAAAGAATAGTTTGTACCTGTATATTCCTTCCACCAAGATAAGAATTTTTTTCCAGGGCCTCCGTGTACGAGGTTGCCCATGCACAATAGCATCTTTGAGCAGCTTCTCCAGGCTTTGCATATCTGCACCAGAAATTACTGTTAAATGGTACCAAAACAGCTACTAGCTTGAGCTTTGCAATGACTAAAGACAGCAATACTCCAGAAACGCACAAATTGCTCCATTGTGGAGGACAGGCCACACATAAGTCAATAAGCATCAGCTTCATCTAGCTGTGGGCCCACAGATGAGATTAAAGGGAATGGGTGACTGTATGAACTCCGAGGAAGAATTTCATCATCCTAAGCTAAAAGCGCAAGTTAAAACATTAGGCACAAACAGCAAACAAGGAAGCACGGAAAAAAAAGAAGGAAAAAAGAAAAAAAGGAAGGTATCTCATTGTGAGGAAAAGAGAAAGCAATTTAGGAAGTAAGCATGTCCTTGTGGATAGAAATAACTCAAAAAAGAATAAGCAAGCTCAATGATAATCAACTAAAAATAAGTAGAAGATAGATCACAGTGGAGGACAGGAAGGGGAGCAAGTGTACATTTTTTATTACTTTGTTTCAAATTGAAGGGACTGGAGGTATGGAACAGGAAGCTACTAAACCAAAAACAGAAAAGGAAGAAAAAAGATTGACCAGTGTAGGAAAGAGGACAGTGCTCAGCATGTAAGAAACCAGACAGATGAAGTTGTTAGTAGCAATGTATTCCGAAACTTTACTAGCTTTGGGCTATGCACACTTGACATGATCCTAGGAGACCTGACTAACGTGAGCAAATAAATACACATGAAATTGGTCCTGAAAAAAAAAAACCAACCCAAAAACTGAGAAAAGGAGTGGAGATGGGAGTAATCAAACCGTAAAAACTGAAGTGCTGAGCAGGAGACAGATATAAACACCAGGGCATGAAAAAGAGCACAACAATCATGAAAAGAGGACTGGCAGATTAGGGCACTTGTAGCAGCAAGAGGAGCTTGTAAACTAGAACTAGACTAGAAGTTACACAGCAAATTAGGTCATTTAATAGACAGTTAAAAGACAGCTAGTGTTAAGAAAAAGACAAAATGAAGAAGTCAGCAGTGGAGTCCCTGCCTCCAATAAATCTCTCTCAATGAAGAAAGGACAAGTTTAGTGTAGTTAGGGAGAACAATGGAATATAAACTTCTGCTCTGATCTCTCAAGAAAGAGGGAAAGACTGCAAACTAGGTCTGACCTTAATGAAAAAGACAAACTGCAGAATGAGGTAGGAAAAAAATGAAAACATTGAACAAGGACTTTAAGGGGGATTTAAATTTTTTTTCCATAATTTCTAAAAAGCAGAATATGAATGAAGCCATTAACTTCTCAGGAAAATGAAGTTAACTAAGGCAGCATAGAGTATAATAAGTGCAGGACTGACAACACAAACGTAACTATGAATTGAACGTCATCTTGACAGGCCAAGATCATTGCTTGTATTTTGCCTTCTGATTCTAATCTGCCACTCTATTCTCTTTCACAGATCCCCACTACCTAATAAGGTTTCTAGAATATCCCCCAATCTCACCATTACTAGTTTGTACCCCATTCCCACAGATCATCTGTTCTTCCTCATCACACCAGAGCTTCTAAATCCGTCACCTCATACCCAGAACAGTGACGCTGTTTGTCACCTGCTTTCTCTGAAATTCTGGAACTGGATGCAATGTTCAGAAGTATGTCTATACAAGTACAGAAGTTGAGTGCAAAGCTTTTGTGATCTTGCCCAGCAATCAAGATTTATGGAGAATTAAAAAAAAAATAACAAAAAACCCCACTGAATGTTGCAGTAAGCTCCACACTTCCGTAAAGAAAATTATTCAAACGATAGAGAACAAGAAAGAGAGAACACAAAAGAAACAATAAGCACAGCAGAGGACCCACTATCAAGTAGGACAAAGAAAGGAAAATGATTGCAGCCACCCAAGCTTTGCTGTCACCACCACATACTTCAAAGAAAGCAACAGTCGTCATGATCTCAGAGACAGATACTATGAAGAGTATTAGGAACAGCTGAAGAATGAAGATAGTGGCTTTACTAATTAAGGACAACCAGGTACCTCTTTCATTGAGAATAAGAGAAGGAAACCTTAAGTATTTTTAATCTCAAAGTTATTCTAAATACCTCCTTTGGAGGCAGCTGAAACTGGCAAAGTGAAATTTCTGTGTACTTTGGAAACAAATACTTAAAACAAGTAACTCAGTGAAATTAATCTGTGCTTCACATCCCCAAAACTCCTTTTGGAACTATGTACCAATGCAAGGCTGTCTAGTTTAGCTAGGACATCTGTGTTCATAAGCTTTTTTTACTGTAGGATCATGTTGGCTCTGGTCCTAAAATTAAACTTGCTTATCCCCCAAATTGTAACCTAGGCTACTACAAGATTGCATTACTATGTGACAGGGACTGTTAGAATAGTCTAACCATGCTGAGCTATCCAAAAAGCCATGTTAAAACACTAGTGCCCCTAGACTTGCCAAAGGGCACCATGTTCCTCTTCACGTGCAGAAGGTGCAAGCCAGAACAGCTTCAGGATAAAAATGTTATTAGTTGAGACTGAACATACCAAAAAATATCCAATTCAAGATGATTACATTCTCAGAAGCAGCAGTCTTCTGACCTTTCAGGTAACCAGCAATTGATTTCCTTGCATGAAATTGAATCTCCAACTATTAGAAGACAGAAGAGATTGTATCTGATCTATAGCATCTGCAGAAAAGCAGAGTCCACCATCTGATACTTACTGTTGTGCTTAAAGATTCGAATAGTTGCTCCTGACAGTCTTGCTCCAAGCACCAGTGATGCATGATTCAGTTCATCACTCAAAATCAGACAGCCCTGAATTAGAAGGGGAAAAAGGAAGATATTGAAAAGGTTACATTTCACAGCCAAGCATGTAACACCTTTCAGCTCTGAACTGCTTGGAGATCATTTAAGGGAAGGAAAAAAAAAAAAGCGCATTTCCAACATAAATGCAGCTAGTCCAGGCAAGACTTGCTAAGAAACAATTGGCAGCCTTAGTATAGCAAATAAAAATACACAACTGCTGTTAACTGAAAGAACCACTTTAGTTTCACTTTTCCCAGAAGTTCTGAAGCTGCATCTGCCTGAATATCTCATGTTGATGATTAGTACTCATCCTCCTATGCAGCCAGGCAAAACAGAGAAGAGCAGCTTACCGCAGTTCACTCAGTAACTCTACAGTGGTGCTAGGAAACAGGCCACCAAAGTCCTAGATTACAGACCTTATCAAAGTTGCACTATTTCTTGCATTAGGAGGTAACCACTGACTAATCCCGTGTGTGCTCAGTGGTACCAAAGGGACTAATTTTCTTTAATGAACAGAACAATTGAGTATTTCATAGATGGAGGTAACATACAAGAGACAGGAAGTGGAAAACAAAATTGCAGAGTGAAATTGCAAAGTCTTCTGAAGCCATTAAATATTACATTGAATTTGTTTCCTTTTTCAAAAAAGGGAAGGTATATCCTTGGAGAAACATCAAAACAGGATACATCTGTTTTGAAAGCAGCAATGATTGCAGGCCAATAGCTGATATGCTGAACGTTCAGTCACAGTGTTATCGCTGTGGACTACAGGAACGCATATTGGGGGATTAGTTCGTAAGAGAGCAATAATATTTCTAAATAACCTTGGCCCACTCCAATTACTATGCAAATGTGCTGCAACTCTAGAAGTGACTAAGTTAGAAATCCGGAAAGCATGTCAAGATGCTGAAGATTAGACGCTAAACACATCCTCATTCTATGTTTCTCTATTAACAACCGGTGGAGGGAAGAGTCAAGAACATTTCTTCTCTGCAAGGAGAGTTACTAGAAGGGACTGCGAAAAGCATTACCTGCAGTTACACAAGGAGGTGGCACAGACAATAAACGTATTTTCTCCACAATAAAGGAAATTTTGCACTAGAATTGCGATGTACCTAGAAATATTCTACATCCTGGGAAAGCTCGAGACTGGTTTTCCCCAGAAACTGCACTAAATCAAGTGTTCAAACTGCTGTTACAAGGATTCACACTGCATATTTCAGAAACTTTGGCATAAGAAGCATGGGAAACTCCAACTAGCGTTTGCTTTTTAGAACTACTATACCAAACAAGGCGTATGTATACTATGTCAGAGGCCATTGCTGTTAAGCACTACTGTATCAAAACCCGAAGATAATAATCCAGTACTACTATCCTTCTTAAGTGTTAGGAAGTTGAAAAAGCGATAGATTAAAAAAAGACGAATAAGAGATTAATAGCCTACAAGGAGCTTCTCCATAAAAACAAGTACAAGCTTTTGGTAGAGAAAGCAGATTTAACAAATCAACGAGCAGCCTCTTTTCACCCCCCTGTAACAGAAGAGGGCATTCAATTAGACAAAATAAATTAATTTAGAACTGAAGAAGAAGTAGAGTCTAGTATTGTCTGCCACTAGAGAGAGGGCAAAGGATCAGAGAAGCCAGTGGTACGGTACAGCAATCACTGATGATAATATGTAAAACTGAGTGCTGCTACTACAATGATAAGACTTCAGTTGCATTTATCAGCAAACTTACATGTGAGAGAATATCCAGGAGAAGACTAACACTATTTGGAGATCACACTACTGGTATCAAGACAAACATATTCCAGTGAAGATCAGACTTACTAATGCATCCTACAAGGCAGACACAGAAACTGAAGTGAATGCCACATTTTACCAGTGCTGCACACATGAATTGCGTAATTCAGTCCTGAGCACTTAATTTCACAAACTAACTATACATGGAAATTAATTTGTTTTCTTACAACCAAAAAAAATCCTTCAAGCACCATTGCTCTAATTCCATTATCTAGTCTCGGTAAGTCCAGAGCTATGACAAAAAGCTCTGTGCTAAAGGCAGTACAGAATGCTGTTATTAGCTAGTTACCGTAACTACATTAATGACACTTACTCCAAAACAGGCAAGTTTCAGCATCTAGCTTAGCCTCAAATGGTCTAACAACTTCTGACTACATAATCCTCCAATCTCACATTATCTGTGGTCTAGACTCAGCATACATGGCAGTGACTGTACTAGGCAGCCAACAACTTGGCTGTCAACAGTAGGTCTCTCCTGCTAAAAACTGCCAGGTACAGAAAGACCTGTTTTTAGCAATGCTTCAACAGTGCTGAAATACAACTTTCAGTGTACACCAACTATACCTGTTTTCAGCATCTTCTTTGTAGAAGCTGCTGTTAACAAGCCATAGTGAACAGAGATCAACTAGGTAATGCTGATGAAGCTTTTGAATTCCTTTTGCTGACCAGTGCTGATCAGACTATGGGGTAGAGTTGGACCCTAGGATAGTCAAGTCATATTTGTTGCTATTAAAAGAGGATTCAGTAGCAACATAAATCAAATGCTTAAGGGTTCACAGAGCAAAACCAGAACAGGTGGTCCAGTATTACATACATGCGATTAACTTTATTGCAGTGGTTTGTATCTTAAGCTAATTAAGTTGCATTATAGGTGCCCAGATATGATGTAAATAATAATTAGCTTCAAATCATATCAGTGACTGTCAAAGAAACTCCTTCTGGCCAAATGCAAATGCCATTACTGATTATATTTGTCAAACCTCCAAAAATTCATGTTACAGGCAGCTTTGTGCCTGAAAATGTGTGTAGGACATACAGAGAGACACAAAAAGTAGTTTACAAAACACACAAAAAAAAAAAAAAAAAAAAAAAAAAAGGAGACAACAACAACAAAAAAGGAGAGAGCCCAAGAGTTTAATCAAGCATGAGGAGTCTCTGGGCTTTACTGAGGACACTATCAAAGCATTGCCAAACAGGCTGTGCACACACAGCCAATTGTGTACTGGGTGGTGCCAGAATTCAGGATTTGAGTCGTTATTTGCGGACAATCAAGAAATCAAAAGTGCAGTGAGAAGCAACTTCAGGCAGCCAAAAAAAGCATTTAGTGAACATTCTGAACTGTGAAATGGTTCATTTCACAAGAATTCTTTTCTTCAGAAGAGAGCATTTTCTGTTTGGAGTATTCACCTGAGTATAAGGGTACTTCTAGCATTATGAGACAGAAGCTTCTTACTACCTTTATTTGAAGTGCACAAAACCTAAGTATGCTCATTACTAACACATTACAGACTGCTGTATCCATTTACGAAGAGTTGGTTTAATAAATGTGCAAGTTATGCACATGAAAACAGGTAAGTGACATGCCTTGGAATTTACTGTTGAGATTCTCTCAATGGTTGTAAAAACTGTTAAAGTTCAAAGTGAAAACTAAGGAGCTGAGTACGGTGTCTCAAGGTTATTCTCATAAGGTATTAAAGATATACAGTGGGTCTCACAGAAATAATTTTTCTGTTGAAGAGAAAACTGGAGCGATGTGGAAGACGACGAGCAGAAAAATGCAAGTAAGATATGTCAGAAGTAACATGTTGCTCAAAATCATAGCACTGCAGAGTATTTGACTCCAGAAAGACTAGATTTGAAACACTGAATTTCTCTCTGGCATCAGACTCAAAAATGTCTTTCATTATGGAAAGCATCTGATATTTAAAACTTAATAGACCAAAAGAAAAGAGGCATAGGTAGACAGTGCTGCTTCATTGTTACAATTGAAATAGCATGCAGGAAAACACAACAGCTAGTCAAGAAGAGATTCACCAGGAGGAAAAGTTGCCGGGAAGAATAAGGCAACAATTTTATACTGTAGATATGATAACTGGAAGAATTTACAAAGTGGTCTCAGGAAGTGGAAAAATAAATAAATGGAATAAAGGGAAAATAATTCACTACACAGGGACATAGAATTCCAACAGCCTAGTAGTATTAGGCTAACAGTGAATCATTTTCAGAAAGAGGAAACAGTTCCAGTACTTGCATTATTTTACTCTAAGTAGGAGCTTCGAGAACGTGTATTTTGCATCAGAAGATGCAAACAAAGAGCTCTCTTCTATTTAATTTTCCAATAACGAAAAAAACATAGTCTGAGATGCAGCATACTCAGGCTGCATTGTATACTGTTTTATGGGGCACACAGTAGACATCATGAGTCTTTACATTTTACCTTGTTTGTCTCAAATAGCTTTTCTACTAGGATTTTGCTCCTTCAGAGGTAGTATTTTTCAGCTACTGCTCAAAGACAATAAATTCCATGTGTACCAACATGCAATTCAGCTTATCTCTGTGTCTCACTGACACAGTCACTTCTTAGTGTCTCAAGAGAATCAAAATACCTTCAGGCAATCAGCCTGTTAATCAGCCACCATCAGTAGCCTGAGGAAGCAAGCCTTAACATGCTAGGCTCTCTCCCAGAAAGAGGACAAGATCTGGACTGCTACTGGTCTCATGTATGCTGTTTCCCAAAAAGATTTTTGAAAAGGTTAGAGATGCATACCGTGACCTATAGTTTCCATAGAGAATATCTGCAGTAGTTGCCACTGAAGAAAAACAAAACCAAACAAGCAGCTTTTAGAAAACCCAACCAGCTGAATCTTTGTTAGATAAGGTTTTGCTAGTGACTTAAGCCATACCTTGCCAACTAAGGCAGGAATGTTCATAGAGTTGGTTGCAAACCCCATTCCATATGCCATTGCAGATTCCACACCTAGGAACCTGGCAACTAGCTCTTCCAGCTCCTCATGCTTGTCCAAGTTTCCTGCACATAAAACAAATAAGAAATTCAGAATGAGGAGAAGCTTTCAATATTGCTATATTCTATGAGAAGAATTTCCACCAACCAGGCTACTCTTTATTTAAAGGCCCATAAAGGGAACACTGAAAAAAAAATATGAAAACATAAGTGAGCCAACTACTGTGCCATGTAAACTAAACCCAACAAGTCAACTTGTCTCCACTAAAGTAAAAGCTTCATTATTGATTAGTCCAAAGTTCAAAAGCTGGAACAAGTAATGTTTCAAAGACCTGTGATCAGATTAAAGACTTTGAAACATACATTTGGGGAAAATTCTATCTTGCTCCAACTTACCCATCTCCTGCCTAGTGCTGCACACCCCAGCTCCATACTGGGACAGAACTTCAGCTGCTGCTTCTTGGCAAGTCCCTGCCTTCTGTGCAAATCCAAGGTAGTTGTAGGAACCCATATTAATAATGTCCTTTATCACTCTCCCTGTGTACCTATGTTTTAAAAACACCACAAGTTAGGACACCCACAATTAAAAAAAATTAACTACACCCGAAGATTATTATTTGTTTCCTAGAATATACACTGAAATGTTAAAAATCAATACAACCAACCATTAAATTATTTCAATACTGCCCCTCATCATCAAACTGAAACGATCAATGAAAAAGCTTTCCCTATCTTAGTCTCAAACTAGCTCCCAAAAGAGTTTACATTAAAAGGTAACTTTACTATCATATCTAAAATTGCTTGAGGCTTCTCAAACTGTTTGTTGTTCCTCTGACATGTCCCCCCTCCATCCCAGAAACATACAACTTCATTTTCAATTACAAAATAAGATCCCTAGATCAATTAACTTGGCAGCCCCCCCAAGCAGGATATCCTCTAACCACAGAAAGGAAACGCATCTGGCCCTGCTGTGCTAACAATACGTGACAAGGAGATTAAGGAAGTTTAGCAGAAAAAAAGTTTTAATTATTTTGCCCTTGAAAGCTGAGGAGAGACATGACTAGTTTCATAAAGTACTGTGCTGCAAAACTCTTCACATCAAACTTGTTATATGTCATTTCCAATTCGTAAAAATCCTTGTCCTTGCATTTCTGATTTTGTTTCTGCAGACTACTTCAGTTCTGACTCAAGACAATCCTGTTAAATTCATTTTCAGGCAGCAACGTTTACTTCAAGTGTCAGGACTGATTCTAAATCAACACAAAGTCACAAGTAGCACTGCAATCCGAAGTATCTACTCTAGGTTCTGGTCATCACACACAGAGAAGTATTGATTTTATTATAGGTGCACACCCATGAAATATTAACACAGTCAGCAGCCTTACTAAGCAGCCAAAAGATTACACAAAAAAAATCACCTTGGCCAGATGCATTTCAAAAGAGCAGAATTCATCGATTCAATCTGCTGGAAAGCTCAAAACAAACACAATTCACTGCATCTTTAACCTCACAGCCTGCAACTTGCTCTTATAGACCCACTACTTAAAGATAGTTGTGGGAAGCCTTGTCTTCAATTTTGACTCACGTGAACGTCCAGTTATAGTCATGGGAAACTCTCTCCATCATGTCCACTTTGGCCCCTGGCACACTACAGATCGGACGGTTCCAGCTGTCCCGAATGCGTGTGTAGAGGTTTCTGTTGTAGAAATTTTCAAAGTCCTGGTACAATGGGACAAAGTCCTGAAACACATCAAAAGCACTCAAAGTAAAAGGAAAATAAATATATATTACAGCAAACTAGGAATAAGCTGTTTCTGTCATTCGGGTGTAATTTAAAAATAAATTTAAAAAAATAATCAAGAAAACTCAAGAAAAAGTTAGAGAGTTCTTCATCTCAAGCCCTGAAACCAATTCCACCCAAAGTGTTTTTAACCCTGGAAACCTGTGTCAGTGCAAAATTATTTGAAGGTGAGACAGCAACAGAACTGAAGAGATTAATTTGCTAGTGCAAAATCCATCTGCTAGATGGTAACTTTTTCAACCTGCAAATCTACCACACCCCCAAGATTTCCTCAACAGTAGGTGCTTATTTGTATCTAACTTAAGTAGCTCATAGAACCTAAAAGCCATCAACCACAACTAGAAAAAACAATCATGGCATTAGGTTACACTTCAAGTTAGAAAGCCCCAAAGAATTCTAACATACAGGAAAGGGAGTGCTGAAAGCAACACAGAAACTGAATTGGGAGCTCCTAATGACACAACGAGATGGTGTTCTCTGAACTCAAACGGGACTTGAAATCATCTTGGCTCTCTTTCCAGCTCTTGCTGGGTAGTGGAGGAGAGCATCTCTCTTGAAACACACAATAATCCCCTTCGTGAAATGCACGCGCATATAATCTTTGCAGGAGATTTGTATTCAGCCTTCAGAGTTAAGCAGAGCAAGGGAACATGTAATTGCTTTTTGGCAGCAAACACTATGCATTGCTCTACTGAACACACAAAGAATTTGAAAACTGAGGTACTCTGCTGTATTTCATTCTGTACATAAGAAATGCATTTAATATAGCAGCGCTAGCATTATTATAGAGGTTACTGTTAGAACTTTCCACAAGTTTTTGTTCTGAATCCAAGCTAGTAAGCTACATTATGGCACCTCTCTTCTGCACAGCTTCTCGGCACTTAAGTCCCACGGGATTTCTTCGCGCGAGCATTTCCTGAATTCTAGCTTCCCTTCTAACGTTCTTCAGGAAAAGTAAGTGACTGTCTTGAATGGATAACACACAAGAATGTCAAACTAACTGTGACAGCAAGGATATCTGAGCACTCAAGAACATTTTATTCTGGCCTACTTAAAATGCTTCAAAGTCATGAGATTTCCTTATTACTATTCAATTAAAAGGAAGTTTGACATTCAGTAGTGGTAAGAATGCATAATTCATTTGCTGCTGTTGGAAAAAAAAACAAAACAAAACAAAACACCCAAACCTTTTTTAATAATCTACCAAAGGAAAAACTAGAATTTATGACAAAGGTAAGAGCCAGCATAGCATTTCTTCCTGTTTTTCACAACAGAAATAAATGCAAACATGGTGAGGGAGCATTTTATTTTTGGTGACAGGATAAGCAAGACAGACTATCTGTCTGACCTAATATTATGGTGCCTAACATTTGTACCACTGAAGCAAAACTGGGAGCATTTATGCCACTTAACAACTTCATCCTTTCGGTTTGGAGTAAAAGAACCATCTAGGTCCACCCCTTTGCATCCTCTTACCAGCAGCTGCATAGGAAACATGGAGCCCCAAAGTGCCAACTTCTAAGTAGGCATAGTTGCACTTAAGCCCCCTTCTGATTTGCCTGTGTATAATGACATGCCAAAAAGGCAAAGATATCAATTTTCATCATTGGGAAAACAACCCAAATGTAGCCAGTGATCAATCCTCCAGGGAATCACAAGTATGTCCTTTCTCAGCAAAGACAAGACAGTGGGAACAAGATTTCTATGAGGTAAGATGCACGGAAGGGCAATTATTTCTTCCATCTTCCTCTACTTAAGTATAGTTTTGCATTACTTCACATCTGCCAGGTCTTCTCTGAGGGCTCTTTGTCAAGAGACGTTAACGAGGTGGTAGGGCAGCTAATACAAAGCTGCAATCCCCTAGAAAATCATTAGTTTTCTGAAGTAGCTACACAGCTCTATCCTTCCTCAACTTCAGTCTCACGTTGTTCCAGGCAGAAAGTAGGTTTCAAGGCTGAATCACTAACAAACTGATCCTCTTCACCATCTTTGCATGAGAATTCAGTTTTGCAGTAGTTAGTCAAGCACACTAACTATGTGACCCAGGAAACAACTGAGATTTTAGCCAAGGTTTTTGGCTAGGAGCGGAGGCTGAAAATGAGTCATTATAACAACTCAAGCAGGTATGCCTGGGCTGAACAGTCCAATCTCACCTCATATTACTGAACAGATAGAACATGTTTTATTTTGAAACCCAAGCTGACAAAGCAGGAAGAGTAACAAGCTCAACTGGTGAGATAAAGACAATCACGCACAACTTGACACCACCAAAATATATAATACAAGTATGATCTTACAAACCAACAGTATAACTAAGTTTAAAGTGATTTAACTGTGAAGTAGAGAAGTTCTCTGAACATAATGGATTATGACAAGGAAAAAAGGTGTCTTAAAAGTCAACAAGAATTCAAGAAACAAATTATGGGTAAGGGAATTAAGGTCTAATACATGACACCAGCCTTAGTTTTTGGGGGTACCAAGCTGTAAGATTATAGCAAAGTGCTCTAAGTGAGGCATCAACTTAATGCTAGCCCCTTTGTCTGTCCTGCTTCCTCTCCCCCCCCAATAAACCACCCTCAGCTAGCTCTTATGAGAAAGTTCCTTGGAATAGGACAGGCATGAAGTGTTATTTTGGCATAAATCAAAACTGGATTGTCTATTTCCTCAGTAATCCTAATCCCACCAAGAGTTATCATGACCCCACCAAGACATTCTCATGACCAAAGAGAAATGGTAGGGATATCTTGTCTTTATAAATTGGTACTGACTTACGGAGTTCAAGAGTCCTCTTTTGCAGCTGGCATACAGGACCAGATGATTGGCATGGTTGGTTTGGGGGCTGGGTTTTTTGTTTGTTTGTTCCCCCCACCCCCATCTTTCTACAGTGTGGCATTTCAGATGAGAGATTAGAGAGGACAGTACACCAAAAAGACCACTTGAGTTCTTCATGGAAATGAAATTTTTTCAATCTCTGAACCACAAAAAAATCATTTGGGGAGGGGGGTGGGACAAATTCTATCAATCCATACTATTTCAAATTTTTGGCACGTGCAGCCACAGTGCTGTGCTGGAACAGCATCATACTGCTGGAAGCAATCACTGTCCCCTTTAAATGGCCTTCAGAGCTTATTGTTATTTTTCCATTAACTTCTCATCTTATTTCAGATCCAACACTCTAGCCATAACAGACCCCAAGAATATCCGCCCAAGACTGAACAACTTCATTTTGAGGAAAAATATTCTAGGAGTGAGTTGATTTTTTGAGCAATCTTAAGAGTAACCACAGTCAAACAACTGCAAAGGTTACACTGTTTTCAAAAGAGGGAGCAAAAGCCGCATGTTCTTTCATTTGAATTCATATGAACATGGAGCTAAGAAATTCTGAACAGCTCCATTCCTGTCACTTTAAGCCTAGAACACATCCCCTATTAATAAGGTGATACCCAATGAAGAAATCTAAGTACTAATGGTCTCCCAGAAGCCTGAAAGGCACAGCAATTTCAAGAAAGAGTGAAACATGGGAAGAATAAAATTCTCCCTTGGGCTGCAGCACCTTAGCATAGGTGATTTGGGAATCCAAGATTTCATCATACTGTAAATTAATACTACAACAAGTGAAGGTCATAACGAGAGCTTTGTAACCATTAGCTTGGGGCACAAAGACATGGAAATACAGTGATTATGCTGCTTTCAGAGTCAAGTTTTCACAGCGTTGCACCTAAGCTAACAAATGGTGCCATGAGCACCAGCAGGGCTTACCTGCAATTCACATAATGCATTCCCTGATAATACAAAAAAGACTCTGAATGGAAATCAAGTAGTCAATTGCAACAAATTTCAGGTTTCTAAAAGGAAGAAGAAAGACTAGTTCCATCTCACTGCTACATGAGTCAAGAAAAAGTGGAGCAATAACCATGAGTAGCCTTTATGCCATCAGGAAGGCTCTGATGAGCTCTACAGGTGCTAAGACAACACCGAGCAAAAGACTCCAGTTTACTGCCCCTGAGATACTCCTACAGCTGGATGCATGTTAACAAATGTTTGAAAACCCCAGATGCTAGAAATATGTTCTGACTGGACAAGCTACTGAGCATGAAAAGGTATGTTAGAGTTACCCACCCCATTTGCACAGTTGGCCCCGTATACAAAACGTACAAAGTAATCAACAGGCAAATGAAAAGTTATTTTCATCCTGCCTATAAAATCCTACAGTATTTTGCAGACTTAACTACATTGTATGACCAGACATTACATTAAATTGGGTATGCATAAATTGATTCCAGGGTAATTCAGAATTGTTAATCTTGCTGCTTAGCCACGCCTAAAACAGACTGATAATGCTTCAGAGAGGATGTGCTCACCACGCTGGTTTCCAGGAAAAGTCCAGCTGCGCATATTTTAAACAAAGAGACTATTTCCTGGAAATCAGTACTAGCAAAGCCTGTCCCTCTTCACCCTTTTGTGTTCCAATGGCAAGCGAATATTAGGTTTTCCTGGAATCATTAAATCTCAATGCAAGGCTCTAATAAATTCCAAGGAATTTACCCACAGTCAGAGAGTCCCAGTATAGACCTGTTGGAAAGCCTGCTCTTTAAATTAGTTTGGTCACTTTTATATCACAGAATGGTTTGGGTTGGAAGAGACCTTAAAGATCATCTAGTTCCAACGCCCCTGCCATGGGCAGGAACACCTTCCACTAGACCAGGTTGCTCAAAGCCCCATTCAACCTGGCCTTGAACACTTCCAGGGAGGGGGCATCCACAGCCTCTCAGGGCAACCTGTTCCAGTGCCTCACCACCCTCACAGTAAAGAATTTCTTCCTTACCTCTAATCTAAATCTACCCTCTTTCAGTTTAAAGCCATTACCCCTTGTCCTATCACTACACGGCCTTGTAAAAAAGTCCCTCTCCAGCTTTCTTGTAGGCCCCCTTTAGGTACTGGAAGGCTGCTATAAGGTGTCCCTGGAGCCTTCTCTTCTCCAGGCTAAACAACCTTAACCCTTTCAGCCTATCCTCATAGGGGAGGTTCTCCAGCCTTCTGATTATCTTTGTGGCCCTCCTCTGGACTTGCTTCAACAGGTCCATGACCTTCTTATGTTGGGGGCCCCAGAGCTGAACACAGTACTCCAGGTGGGGTCTCACGAGAGCAGAGTAGAGGGGGAGAACCACCTCCCTCGACCTGCTGGTCACACTTCTTTTGATGCAGCCCAGGATGCGATTAGCTTTCTCGGCTGCAAATGCACATTGCTGGCTCATGTTGAGCTTCTCGTCAATCAACACCCCCAAGTCCTTCTCCGCAGGGCTGCTCTCAATCCACTCATTGCCCAGCCTGTGTTTGTGCTTGTCGTTGCCCCGACCCAAGTGCAGGACCTTGCACTTGGCCTTGTTGAACTTCAGGAGGTTCGCACAGGCCCACCTCTCAAGCCTGTCAAGGTCCCTCTGGATGGCATTCCTTCCTTCCAGCATGTCAACCGCACCACACAGCCTGGTGTCAGTGGCAAACGTGCTGAGGGTGCACAAAATCCCACTGTTCATGCCACCAGCAACAGTGCCGGCCCGAATACCAACCCCTGAGGAACGCCATTCATTACTGCTCTCCACTTGGATATCAACCTGCTCACTGCAGCTCTTTGAGTGCAACCAGCCAGCCAAGTCCTTATCCACTGAATGGTCCATCCATCAAATCTATGTCTCTCTAATATAGAGACAAGGATGTCATGTGGGACAGCGTCAAATGCTTTGCACAACTTCCTTTCAGTTTATAGTTCTGATGTATGTTCTAAGACTAAAATATTAAGTGACAATTTAAGGAATGATTTGCTCTACTAAAATAAATTGCCCTCCAAAACACACAAAAACTGAAGGTGACTTTTTTGGTGTTTGCTTTTATTAATACATTTTGGGCCTAAGTTTACATTATGCTTTTAACTGCGATCACCTGCAGAAACTCACCACAGAAAATCCACATACTTCAATTCCATGACTTTCAGGACAAGTTCATTCAGCCCTTCATGAAATACTTCCTTGCACTACATAATTTTGTTTTGCTCACAAAGCAGGTCATCACACTGTTCAGCTACACAGCTACTCCTACTGCCTTTGCTTTGAGCTTTTCACCTAAGCAATTATGAGCTATTTCAAAAAGTTAAAGCTAACCCTTTTGCTTGATACTTAAGAAAATCATAATCATCTAGTTGGCTCTTTAGAATTTAAATAATAAAAACGTTACTTTCCACACAGAGGTCACAAATCTGCCAGAGACTGCCCCAGGATAACTGCAGGGCTCCTTTGATGTGCATGTATTAATTAAAAAAAAAAAAAAGTGCAAGTTCCGAGCCTTTTCTGCAGACTAGTAGCTGCATTCCCCTTACCAAAAGATGATTGGGCTGTCAGCCAGCAGCTTGATAGATTCAAATATTTGAAAATCATGAGAAATTTTCAAAACAAGTCATTGAGCAACCCCACCCACACAAGAATAAAACCTGGCTCCCACACTAGATACGCTGCAATGTGCTCTCATCAATTCATTTGCAGGCAAACAAAGCTTAAAGCAGCAAAATGTGAGGATAAGTACTATATATTCTAGACATCACATGATCGCTTTTCTATTTGTCCAATATCAGAAACAGCTATTCCAACCTAAGCACTAGAAATGTGATTTGGGGAGGTATACTAGGCTGAGACTTCTTCATCACCAAAACTTTTTTAAACAGGATTTCATATTTTTCATTCTTACGCAATATTCACCGGCTCTTGTTACTAGCTCCATCCACAGTCATCATATGCACAAACAAAAACAGAATACATGCCTCTCTTCCCTGCAAGCCATGACCAACATACAAACTCAAAGGGTTTCAATTAATCTGTCTGGGAAGTATACTTCTTAAGTGAATGTCTTTCAGGGTAAGATGCAATGCTAAGTTAATTTATAAAAAATTTCAAGGCTAAGTTTCTTTCAGAACTAGGATAATCAGTTACTAACAAACCCTGTGCTTCAATGTCCTTTGTGATGACCTTTACTGAGAGCCTAATATCAATAATGTATTCCCAAATTAGACCTACTGCCTAAGGTCCTCCTTTTGTACACTCTCACGTAAGTGTCATGACTGCTCCCACAGAAGAGGACTACTGTAAGCAGTCTTGCATCTTATATACTGGTAACAGAACATACATTTCACAAAAACTGTGCAACAGAAATAACAACTACAGTATAGAGTAACTACACCAACACTTCAGTTACTGCTTTATAATCCTCAGGTACCATGAGTATAGACCAATATTTAAACCTTTATTCTAATGTCTTGGTAGGTTTCTGCAAGTGTTTGACTGTTCTCTCCTGTACCAACTTCTAGTTCATACACAGAAAAATACAAGGGTGTCATGTTCTCAGGTGACATAAACCAGAGTAGCTCAAATAACATTAATGAACACATCAAGTTTCAAGTTGAGATTTAACCAGCAATCCTTATTCAGATATTGTAACTGTTAAAAGGGACCCGAGATTTTTACTTCCAGATTCCAGAAGTTTAAACTCCTGTACTTTTAACCAATATGAAATACCTATTACTCATTAAACTCCTATGAGGATGTTTCTGTTTTGGAATTAAGCACCTTGCTATGAATCAGCTTAGTTCTACCTCACAACGCTCACTCAAAGAAGCTACTGTGAAGTAATTTTAGGCACTGGTTAGTTTACTGCATCTTAGCTTATCTAACGTAAGATGACATGCACTTCACTCCAGTGCTGCCTCCAAAAATAGCCTCCAAGGAAGCACTCCTTTTTTTTTCTTCCCCCATCCCATCCTTGATGATTTGTTTGCATTAGTGAGATGTCCCTCCCACCTCCCCTATTTTCTGCTAGCCAAGTGCTTGTGTGGCTGCACAGAGAGACAGAAACCAGCAGCTGGAAAACAAACTCCCTTAACATTTTATAAACCAGATTGGCTCCCCAAATCAGTTGAGAAAAACAGAACCCTGATCAGCAAGAGTAAGCCAATTCACTCTACCTTTGGAGCAAAGCTCACCAGTATTCACACTGTGCTAAGAGGGCTCACGCTAAGAGTTAGCAGAAAATAGCTTGCAAACTGCAAGTTTAAACATTAGCTTTCTTAACAGTAATTAATTCCTGTGGGGAACAAAAGCCTCTAAAAATATTTTATAACTACTCAAAATAAGGATTATCTATTCCAGACTAACTGTTGAAACAAGCCAGACTTTTCACCTGGTAACAGAAGCTTTTGTGAATAGGTCTTATTATGAATTAATTCTTTTTAATTGCTATCAGTGAGTCTGGAGTCAGTACCTCAGAATAGTCACCAGCTAACCTGCTAGTAGTCTGGACTCCAGATGAATTTACAGTCATCCAGCTTGTGCTCAGGTTCTCATCCACAAGCTTTTCTTTGCAGCTGCTTAGGCTAAACAGAATTAATAGCATGCTTCCAAATCAAAACACAGCCACCAGAGCAGCATCAGAAAGCCTCCCAGTGCCATCAAACTCAAACCAGACCCTTTGATAAGCATTTCTTTAGCTGCTGATGCTGGCATATGTAGTCTCTCTACCCTAAATCCTTGTTTCTGCAGCTGAAGCATCTCAGTATGTTGATAAAACTATTGATGCACCTTTGCAGTGAACCAGATGAGGGAACTGCTCCGCCAAAAAAATAACCCAATTAAAAGAAATGTTACTTTGTTTAATGACACAGCAGTATCTGGGGCATTCAGAAGACAAGGAAAACAGCATAAAACTTTGAACAACACTGGTCCCTAGAGAAACACTCAAGCTATAGCCTCAGCCACATAATTTCCCACTGACCATTATTTCCCAGTGGTTACCTTTTGTTCTGCTCTTTCTGTTGCATTTTGACACTTCTCAATCTTCCACTGCCGCATGAAATCTCGCAGATATCCAAAGAGAGTGAGAACACCATAGCCTACGTAGGTCAGCACAGCAACCAGCATCGGCGTTTCTTCAAAAGCTTCATTGAATGGCCTTTTGTATAATCCTCCATTGTGCACAATTTGATTTACCTATAGTAAAAATTTAAAGAGAGGCAGTTGTAAGACATTCATCCAAGAAATGACAGATAACCATTTCAGAGTAGTCCCTGGCACTCCGATCAGCTATAAGCTCTGCATCCCCCCTGCTCAGCTCAAAGTACTTCCAGCTAGGTTCAGCCATTACCGATGAATACTGTCGGTCTCTATATACGAGACTGCTAAGTTGTTGATACAACCAAAGTCACAGTTACCAATTCAGTGCAGTTTAATCTAACATCTCATTAACGTTCTTTAGCTTGCAAAGCTGCATAGAGAGCATTGCTTACATCCAGGCTGACCAAAATGAAAAAAATGCCTTTCCCCTTCACCAAGAACTAGGTAGGCACAAATAAAAAAAAAACCAGTGAGGTTTCCCAGGTACACTACAGGAAAAACCAAAATAGAAATGAATAGTTTTATTAATCTAAACAATGTATTCTCAGGATTATGAGAACTGGAAAAGTAACTGGAAAATCTCAGAATAGATTCAACTTTGGAAGCCTATATTACTGTAACAAAACAAGCATAACCTATGTGTCTCCATAGCCATTAGCCTAAAGATGCTGACATAAACACTGTCCTCATCCACGAGGTGGACATGACACCACAGACAAAAAGTCATTGTATGCAGCCTCAACATTGCATATATGTCAGCACACAGAACAAAGCAAGGCTTTCTGCATAAAATCCACAATAAAAGTCATCTTGCTACTTATGTATCTTCAGGAGATGGTAAGAGCTTGACTACATGTGCATATCCCTCTCAAGTACAATTAATGTAATACATAATACTTGTGACTATTACAGAAAAACTTCACAGCTACAAGTCAATGACTCACTCAACACTGGGGGGGGGAAACATCATGGTTTTAACTAGACTACTTGTTCAAAGAATTAAGTTAAAGATCAGATCTCAAAAGTCAATGTATCAAAACACAGAAAGCCAGCCATTAGATGCAAATTGCTATTTGTATTCGTAAAAGTTATAGAATAGCCACCCTATAATAGAATAGCTACGTGTGAAAGAACATTCTCCAAGACATAAATCCCCTATCTGTAGCATCAAAGGTTTCAAGTCTTACTCCTTGCAGAGTAGATTTATTTTTGCCAGTACACCAAGGCTTAAGAAAGCTACGACCTATTAGGTAACCTGAACAGATTAAGATTGGCATACAATTCTGTAACTCTCTGGTATCCAAATATAATATGAAAGATGTTGCCAGACGTGCACGGGAGCAGCTAGAAGACAAGAAGGAAACCAAGATAATACATTTCAATAAATGCCTGTATTAATAACAACACCATGCTGAAGAGAGGGCTAGGACAAGTATGTATCTAGGATGTTGCTCATATTTCTCTAGACTGTACTCAAATTGCAGCTTACAGCCAGATATAATAAGAAATGTATTTTAAAAAATATTCTCATCAAAGAAACATCAACACCTAGGAAAGAGGTTGATGCTAAATACATCAAAAAACACCAAATAATTAATGAGGGGTGGGGGCCAGCAGACAGAATAAAACCAGTTATTCACCTATGGCACTCATACTATCATATGGGAAAGGAAGCCAAAGTCGTACTAACCTCTGTAACAGCTGATGAATCAATAAACACACACATACTTGCTGGCCTCACCAGACACTGCATTACTTGGAAAGCGACACCTGCTCATCTCAGGTGCTGGAGCAAGTCTGTATTTCAAGCCTGGCATTAATATCTTGAAAGTAATTTTTCAGAAGCGAAAGTCTCCCCTTAGGATACAATTATGCTACAGCTATGTAGCCACTGAGTATAAACTGCACCAGCACCTTCCTCCTGATACTCATTTCTACCTCTGACCTTTCACCAACATGGACATCCAGAAAAAAGTCTTAGAGCAAATGCTCAGTTTGGTCACCATAGTTGTAGGGACTTTAGAACTGGTACAAGTGTGGAAACAAAGACACAGTAGGAACTTCTCATTTAGCAACAGCACTTACCCCAGATGCAGATAACTAACTTGCAGCACTTTGAGGCCAGGTTTAATACTGAAGTAGTTTTAAAACATACTGCATACAGTGGTGGCTTAAGTTAGAAAATTACCATGATTTGAAACAGGTGTAGGAACACTTGCTTACCACATTGCAGCTCAGATGATGGCAATTTAAAGTTTTAATGCAGGCCACAGGTTCATACACTGTTTTTGTCAGGAACAGTGTCAGCCAAAGGAACTGCCCCTGCCCCACTCACTCCCACTTTGAGCTACCTGCATCACCCTCTGGCTTGCACTACTAAGGCTAATCTGATATTCGGCATAGAGTCCCTCCAACACTGAACTGATCCAGGTTGGAAATATAATTGTTTGCAGAACATTATTTATTAGACCCTAATACTATTTACAGCACCACTCCACAAACTCATTCAATAGATCTCAGCAAACAAGAACCAGCAGCAGTTTGGGGAGAGAGGAGGGGCAGCAGCACCATGACAATCAATGGGCTTGGTGAACCAATGCTGTAGAGGAAAAATCACAAAAGCTTTCTCTTCTCTATTACTCTCAAGATTGGAGATTGCTCCAGTTCATGAAACCATAGAATTTTATTGCATCCAGATCTGATTAAGATCATGCACCAAAGCTCCAATTACCACAATTTCACAGCTTGATGAATTAAAGTCAAATTTTGTGTCCTCACGCTGACAGACCAGGCTGTGAATAGCAGCTATTCAGGAGCAGATACACAACACACCTGCTACCTGTGGCTGTCAACTAGTAGCTGACTTCTGGATAAGCAGACAGAAAACTGGTAGTGACTACTTCGCAAATTACCTAGTATCTAATAAACAGAGATGACACCAAACTTTTCATGTCTTTCCCAGGTAACTGGAAGTTCATCTGGAAGATACAAAAGGCTACATCCTAAGGGTATGGATCTGAGGTCACCTAATAAAAAAAAAAACAAAAAACCAAACCCCAAAAAACCCAAAACACAAAAAAACCCTATTGACCTTGACACCCCCCCACCCCCAACCCAAATCCAAACCTATACACAATTTTAATCAGAATAAAAGCATACCAATTTTTTCCTGGTCTTTAGAGGTGTCTCTGCTTGTGACAAATGCTAAAACTAAACAAGTTATTCCATGTGGTCAAAACCAACATTTCACTGAGAAAGGCCCTTCTGGGAATACCTGTACTGATTCAATGCATACTCCAATCAATTTCACCTCCCAGTGTTTTTCTACCAACGTGCTTATACATCCTTACACTCTTACATCAGCTACCATGTAAACTGAGAAGCTTCTATGCTATCCTATCTGAATTAAAAATTAAAGAAATACTCTAAATGCAATTTCACAGACTTTTCACGAACCATAGGGTGACTACAAATACACTCTAGTATTGCCTATAAAAGAGACATTCGTAGCCACATTTTAGATAAAAGCCTATTAATTTTTCCAGGAATGCCTTATGAATCCACACATTAGCCTTCAAATGAAGGCTTACATGCTGCGAGCTCCAAGCCTGCTGCCGAAGAGCAGCAAGTTCAGTTCCAGAGACCAAGAAAGAAGGTGGATACAGCTTAGTGAACCATTTCTTTTTCTGGGGCAGGGGAAGGAAGCATGCAAGATTAAGAGTTTTATGGTTTCAACAAGTCTTACGATAAAGTGAGCCATGACCTTTGAACCAGAATATGCTGCATACCTAAGTGGAGACTACAAAGACAAGTCAGGGTTCACCTAAGCCTGTGGTTCAAAAAAGCAGGTGTATGCTTACCTGTATCTCTCTTTCCTGTACTGCCCAGACCACACGTACAGAGAAGAGCACCAGCACATTACGAAACTCAGCTGCAGGAAAAACATCAGAGAGCACCACCCAGCTGGTTACAGAAGGCAGCAAAGAGATGGCATTCTGAATCAGCCACAGGTAATGCCTGTGTTGGGCCAAGCTCTTGGGGAAACCAGTCACATAAAACAGTACTGTAACAGTTACTGAGCAGCAACATCATGCACCTACTGCTAGAAAGGACTGCATTTGTCTAAGCAGAACACATCAGGGAGTCTGATTATAATCACCTCCCCAACCTGGTAACAAACAGTTCCCATTCACAAGACATTACATTACAAAATTGACTTCAGATTTAGTTCATCGTACAAATTAGAAGCATTAGAAGTAGCGTAATAGCATGTCTAGTACAGGCAGAGGATGGGATTGTGGATGTACGCACGTGCAGCACAAGCACACCCAACCTAATGTTCTTACCCAACTGCTCCACAAAGTTATGCTTTAAAGACCATGGTGGCCTCCAGACAGCATCAGATCTTGCAGTGCCTTAAGGTCAGGTACCATCAGAAGCAGACTCCAGCTCCACAGACAGAAAAGGTATTTCTTGCCTATCCCAAGTTATTAAAATTCTTTAACAACATATATGGAAAACCTCTCACGCAATACCTTTTTGCAGTTAACTTAGCATGATTACAGGTCATCCAGCATGAGGGACTGAATAGTGTAATCTACACAAAAATAGTTCTCATTTAAGCCACTCCACTGAGCATAAATTCACACTAGAATGTATCCAACTGCATGCTTTATTGATTACAACCTCCACTATCCTACTAGATGTGAAGATAACTCCTTTATCAGTGCATTAAAAAAACTGCAATTCATAAACAGCAGTTAGCAGTTAACTTGCTTTTACTTCACCATTGTCTATCTTCTAAATTTGGACAGCAAGATCTTCAGAGATGTACCACCATACCTCACCCTGTCATGGATTTCCAAAGGAGGAAATGAAACCAGCAAACAGATAGAGATTTTAGTGTTACTTACGCTTTCACTGCCAGCACCCAAAACAGGTCATGACTTTCTTTTCATTAAAACTTATTTCTCAAAACCAATAGGAAAAAGGGGTTTCAGTATATTTGCTATACCTATGTCAGCAGACAACTTGGATAAGAACTCATCCTAAACAAAGTCAGCACGGTAAAAATCGGCAGATGCAAAGAAGC